CTAATTTTGTGATTATTTTTTATCTTTATTGCGTGTTAGATCAAAAATAAAGGGAGAATCATAAGCATCCACTGTGATTTTATTATTGGAGTTTGGATTTTAGAGACATTTGAAGACGGAGATCGATTTAGTAATGTGATGTGGCACTTTCTTATTTTTGGTCTTTATAGATCAATTTTTGGCATTACTAGATATTCTTCAGATTACGATTATTTATCTCTAGACTCTATATTTCAGGATCTCTTCTTTGTGATAAAATCTGGATCAGAATTTAAGTTTGTTCGACTTTGGATTTGCGATATTTTAAAGACGGAGATTCTTTTGGCAATGCAACGTGACATTGATTTTTTATCATTCCTAATCAAAATTTTGGAATTGCTAGACTTTTCTTTAGATCCATATTGTTCATTGTTCAGACATTAGTTTGGGATGATTTACATTTTCAGCAGATTATTCTTTAGAGATTGTTTGGTATACTATGATTAGAATTCTTAATAATGAAGTCTTCGTGTGATATGGCATTGAGATCTTCGGTTCATCAGTTGGGGGGGGGGGGATTGTGAGCATGATTGGTTGTTTGGGACTTATCAGATTTGAAGATTGGGACTTCGTATTTTTAGTCAAAGTTGGTTCGTCTATATGTTCTATGATGTTAAAGATTACATTGCTAGATTCCGAGATCATGCTCTTCCAAGATACTTTAGCGTTTTATCAATGCTTATTACCCTCATCATTTCCGATCATTTAGGGGAGATCGTTGGAGTAGGAAATGCACTACAACGTTGAGTGTTTTATTATGTTAGAATATTCCCTTTTATGAATAGCATATTCCTTCAACTAGTATATAAAGTGGAGGTGTGTGGTCATCTGTATGTGTGCACCATGTATATATTTGTTAGAGATAGAGAGTTGGTTGCGGAGTTTACATTAGCCATGAGTGTTCTTCATGTAATAATTTGTATCTCTCTCTCTCTCTCTCTCTCTCTATCTATCTATCTATCTATCTATCTATCTATCTATCTATCTATCTATCTATCTATACAATTTAGTTGACTCACATTTTCATGTTCATCACTGTTTATAAATGATTATCTTCTTGATTACTTCTATTCAGCACCAAACTGAGCATAAAATGGGTTACAGCATAACCCAATTTACCTAAGAAGACCATGCATATTAACTGGAGGCTCAACTACATTCAACATGAAGTAGAAAATGGTGGAATCGGTATTCATAAAGTTCACACTGATCAAATTTTGGTGGAACGCTTCACGAAGCCCCTTCCTCAAGCAAAGTTTGAAGGTCATGCTCAAGGGAAACGACTTCAATATTCTAGTGATTGGCTTTTATGTAACAACCATAAATTTTACGCCAAATTTAAACTTTTTCAATCATAAATAAAAACCAAATAGCATTGTTTACAAAATGTTTTCAAATCATTTTCCATCAGAGTGTCCCAAAAATCATAACATAAGGATGAGGAGCGGTACGGTCACTCCTTTTCCTTTCCATGATCTCCTAAAGTACCTAAAACAATAAACTGAAAACTGTAAGCCCGAGGGCTTAGTGAGCTACCCCCAAAATACCAATACCACACTAGCAATACCATAACAGTAATAATCAATCAATCAACATGCATACATGGCCATCGGCCTAACTGGACCGCCCTACCGGGCCTACAGTCTGTCTAAATCTATCCCGAGCCTTCGGCATGACTGGTCTGCCACGTCGGCCTACAATCTCCCCGGACCGCTCGTAAGGTATGTTGGCCTTCATCACAAAGCAGGACCGCCTCAACCCAACCATAAGTAAATAATCATGTGCGCATACTATAACATACTGGCATATACAAACATCAACATAACTGTCTCACTGATCATCAATCATAGAATATCTCCTGTAACTAGAGTACCGACCTAGCAGGTCGCTAACATACCAATCCCTATGGATCATAAGAGCATAACATATTGTCCACCTCGATTCCGAACTAACAGATCATAACCACATGCAACACCTCATAACAATAACAACTAGAGGGTCGGCCTTGGTGCCATAGACCCTATCAATATAGTGAGGATAACTCACCTTGCAAATTTCGACTCGGAAGATACACTCCAACTCTCGTATCACCCGATACCGACTCCACCACCTAAGTTTATAGTGCAATATACTCATAAGTCCGTAACCTTATAAGGCACCCCATAACCCGCCAGTCAACGCCTGGTCAAATTCAAAGTTCTTCGTTAAGGTCAACAGTCCATGTTGACCTTAACTCACCGAGTACCCTTGGGTACTCGTCGAGTTCTCTAAAGTACAATCTAACTCGCCGAGTCATCAGGTGACTCGTCGAGTTCCTTTGATTTTCGTTCGAACTTTAAAGCCACCCGTCGAGTTCCCTCCTTGCAACTCGACAGATACACACCCATACATTTCCAAGAGGAAACTCATCCGACTCGCCGAGTTGTTCTTCAACTCGTCGAGTCTTATGGCGATCTTCATCGGACTCGCCGAGTTGTTCATCAAGTCATCGAGTTCACGACCATCTTCATTGACTCGTTGTGTCAACTTTGCGACTCGCCGAGTCCATTCAATCATTTTATCATGCAGACAACTTTTAAGCCAAGGAAAGGCCCTAAATTGCAGATCCAACCTCCTTAGGCCTGCTTATCACGTTGCATGCAATGCTCCAATGACTCAAAAATCCCAAACTAAGATTGAAATGGGGTTTTACAGTTAGGGAGGGGCTCAAACTTGCCAAAGATAGTAACTTTATGGTCCTTCAATCCATAGGAGTTCATATCTGAAGTTACAACTTCAGATCTTGGCTCATACTCCAGGAAATGACTTTATAACCCAACCAAGAACCCTAATCTCCCACCAAGGAGGTCTAGAACGAAATAGAAAGGAGGATAACATCTTGATATATTCCCAGGAGATGACAACTAGAGTAGATCTGGATTTTCCCCAAGCTCCTTGCTTCAAACCACTTGCTTCCCAAGCTCTTTCCCACCAAAAATCCTCTTCCAAGGCTTCAAACACACAATGGGCACACACACACGTTTTAGGGTTTGTTAAGAGACTGCAAAGAGGTTGAAAGAGGTTTGTGTTCCCTTAAATAGGGTGCACAACCCTGGGATTTAGGGTTTCAGCTGTCGGCTCCTACTCTCCGAGTTCGAATATAGACTCGTCGAGTAGGTTACTTAACCCGCAATCCTTCCCGCTGCTACTTGACGAGTAGATCAACCAACTCGTCGAGTAGGGATTAACCCAATAACTCATATTTAGACAATACTTGAGAATCGAGGCGTTACATTTTATCTATGTTTTAGCATTAAATGTTGGAACATTGTAAAACATCATCTATTGTAATGAATATGATATATATATATATATATTATATATATATATATATATATATTGTATATGATCTTTTCATTAAATATTTGTTGTGTTCTTTATTGACATGTTTAATCCTTAAGTAAATTTATTCACTCTAAAATCCATAGTTAGTTATTATTGTGGGAGCAATAATGAAGTAAGACTAATATGAATTGTAATGGTTGACAAAGCGTTGTAACCAATTTCATAGGTACTTGCTAGAGAAAAAATATTCGATAGACCCGTTCAGGATCATTCCATGGATCGCACTCATAAATGATACTTGATAAAGGTAACATCTTTGTATCCTTAATAACCAAGATGCATATTTGGGACTTATGTATGGGGAATGTTGTTCCTTGATATAGTTAAATGTTGTTCTTTAAACTGACTATTATAAAGGCTATATTTAGGTATGATATGAGTCATGGAAGATGTGTATGTAGTCAAGATGATATTTGTTCCTCTTATTAATTGAGATTTGGACATCTATGACCTTATCAAAAGTTGAACACTTAAACACTAATAGAAAAACAGCCTTTTACGATGCGCAATCAATGGCACGCGCTAATAGAGGATACGCATTCGTGTGTGCCCTAAAAATCGATGTCAGTTTTCCAAAATTTGAAGGATAGAGGACACGCATTTGTTCGTGCCCTACAGTTAGTGTCAAACAAAGCAAAATTAAAAACACGGAGGGCGTTTATTTTAAGTGTGTGTCGTCTACAAATGTCACTTTATATTTTTTTTAACTAAACACGCGTTTTTAAATAGGGATCTAAAATTCTAAAATTTTGAATACCCCACTTCTCACTTAATCCTATGGGTCGCCTTATCTCTCACATAGAGCCATTCTCTCCCTCCTCTCTCTCTCTCTCTCTCTCTCTCTCTCTAACCCTAGACACAACCACTAGCCATTCACATTCCTTCTTCCCCGCCGCTATATTCTTCTTGCTCCATATAATAAAATATGCGACTAAACAATCATGCTCACATCTTATTTTGCTTCTCCATCTCCCACAAAAACCCTAGTTTCTATCACCACTTCTTTTTCCTCCCCGACGATCTCATCTAACCTCATTCTTACGTTCTCTTCTTATAATTCTTAAACCCCGCTTCAAAGAACTAGGGATGCGGGCCTCACAAACTCCTTCATAGAACTGGCGATTGGGGGTCTGCGACTCTTGACGTTGACAACACCCTACTGCAACTTACGGTGGGGCCCAACAAAGAAGCAATTACATAACATGGTTGATTGCTCTGGCGTCCTCACTTGTTCTATGTGGGAAGATGGTAAGAGGATGAAGAGGTGGAAGATTTTCAAAAGTCAAGGCTGAAGAAGGAGAAAAAGATTCAATGGTACATATTTATTTTCGTATTCATCTTCTTCCTCTCTATCTTCCCGTAAATACAAAATTAATCCCACTGTTGAATTAGTGAATTGGGGGTTAGGGTTTGGAGTGATTTGGGGAGAAGATGGGATTGGGTAGTCTTCTTCCTCTCTATCATCTTCCTCGGCATATAAATCCACCCCTCATCGTCATCTAAACACAAATTAACCTTCATACTTCTTCACTCAGAAGTGTTCAGAAACAAGCTCAAAGCCTCAACACAAGATCCCCATGATGTCCATATCTCGATCCAGCCTGCTTCTGAGCCTTCTGCTTTCTCTTGATTTTACTACAATATTCGTAGAAACACATAACTATGAGTTCAAAGTATGCCCTTATATTATACATAGTGTACCATAATCATCATATACATTTTTTGTGCAACTAATGTTCATGTTAATTTCAACAGTTATGCAAGATGGTATGACATCTTTTCTTTTACTTAGCCCTTGTGATGCATCTTAGACAACATGAGGAAACTGTAATGCAAGATGGTATGACATCTTTTCTTTTACTTAACTCAATCTTTAATTTCTATTTTAGTGAATATTTATGCTTTCTGCATCTATCTATACTTTGGGTTGGTTTCCTTTTTGTGTTATGTGCTCTGTTTCATAAAACTTGAAACATTGTGTCTACTATGGAATGATTGGGAAATGTTGGAATTTAAAATTACCTTAGTTGAGGTTCTACTGAGTTTTCCTCTTGTTGCTATTTGTTGGGAATTATGATGTTGATATTTACCTTTTCTACCCTCAAATTTCAGGTACATGATTACATCCATGTTGTAAATTTAGCAGATGGACACACTGCTGCGTTGAAGAAACTCTCGGACCATAAAATAGGTGTGTATTTCTTTCTGATTGCAGATGACATTTTTTAGTTTTGGAAATTTTGTTCTGTTTGACATTAAGTCAAACCATTATCTGTTTTTTAGGCTGTGAAGTCTACAACTTAGGAACGGGTAAAGGCACATCTGCGTTGGAGATGGTAGTAGCTTTTGAAAAGGCATCCGGAAAGGTATTACAATTACAATCTTGAAAATATGTTATCTAGTTTCTATCCAATGTTGATAAAGAAAATCTACTTGTATTTAGTTGTTTATTTTAAGAACATTTCCCCAATTATAGCAATCTCATCCAAATCCCAACAATTTTCACTGCTATAATAATAATAAAACTGAAAGTAGAATGGTATATATAACAGGGTAGATTTTGAATGATGAGTATAAAGGCTTACATGTAATGTTTGTGTTTGTCCAACGAATTCCTGTTGTGACAGCTGGGCGTCGACCTGGCAATGCTGAGGTGGTAAAAACCTTACACTAGCTTCTAGTAATCTTAAAACTGCAAGATCAAGTGAAAAATTTACAAATTAATTATAATTTTCAGAAACGGGTGGAAGGTTTGTTAATTTATAATCTAAATACTATTACTAAATGGGCTCTATAGCACAACCCAACCAGTTCTTAATCAAGCAGTCAGTACCATGTTAACTTTTTTTATAAATAAATTCAAATAAAGAAGTTTTTAATTAAGGAGAAACCAAGGAACTTGATTCCATTGGTATGTATACATGCCTTGCATATGCCTAGCAGAGCACCTGGTCAAAAATAAACTGAAATTATAAGACAATTGGATAACATAATTATTAATAGAGAAAGGCTTGAATGAAACACTAACACAATTCCATTAGTCTATGAACTGCATAGAATCAAACAAACTGATATATTACAAAGCATGATTTCGTCAAGCTTAAATTTTTACATTTTAAACTGAAAGTTGCAGCCAAGGCCACAAGCTCAAGAATTGCATACAATATATTTAAAAATCTATAACACAGAAAAAAGAAAATTGGAGTTGATTTTCAGATTTATATATATTTAGAAAATAGAAGTCACAAACAATATCTATGCTAATGACCAATGTAGTTAATCTAAATCGATAAATAGGACTAAGACAGCCTATTATAGAAGAGCCATCAGAATTAAACAAATAAAGAACAAACATGACATTTAAAGATAGTACAAATAGATAATGAAACAGAGGGCACTATGAACATGTTATAACTCAACTTTTGACCTGTGTTTACATAAATATAATTTAGAGTCAGGGTATTGTAGGTTGCAGTTTGTGTCAAAGGGACTTCTCCAGTTTTTTAAATATCCCACAAAAAGACACCTGATAGTAACAAATATATAAGGATTGATAGATCATCTTTCAAGTGCTAATTTTGCAAATAACCTATATTGGGTATTGGTTAAAAGAAAAAAAGAAATAATAATAACTACATGAAATAATGAACTTTTCAAAATGTCTCATTCCATTATAATATCTTTGTGACTTAATGTTTTGGAACTTGATTGCTTAGTGATAGTTGTTTGATTCTGGTGTTCTATTTTTCAGAGAAACTGGATGACTAGCCAATCCAAAGGCTTCCATTTACGGATTAGTCGCCTCTTCCTCTTTAAGAAAATTAGGGCTTTCATTAAGAAACCTTCCATTGCAGTTGATGACTCAATATTTAAGGGTCCTAATCAGGTATTTTGTTTTACCAAAACATGAAATTTTGTAAAGTGAGACTGAGAGCCACTTGGTATAAAAAAATACATCTTTTCTACTGCAGTGCCAAAGAGTGTAAAAAACAACTGACACTTTCAGTTATTTAGCTATAATTGGATGACATGGAAAGTTTATTACTAAACCCTAAACTGACCCTCAACTGTTCTTGATTTCTCTTGCCATGTGAAAATCAGGAAAGAAACAAATTGTAATTAGTTTTTCACTAAACCCTAAACACTACTTGGCTCAGTGAACTTGTATTTGTCATCATCCTATACAAAACAAAATAAAATATTAATTGAATTTGAAATAAATAAAATAAAGAAAAAAGATTGAACTTTGTAAGAGTTAAAGGACCTTCAAAAAGAGTGTTATTTCTGTTCCTCTACGAATCTATTTTTGAGGATCAGTTTCTTATCTAATTACATATGAACTACTTTCAGGTGCTGCTTCCCATATGTATTGCTTGTCTGACCTTGGACTCTTGGTGGAAACAATCACCTGTTTTTATAAAATATTTAGAATCATTTTTAACTGAGAAATTAAGAAATTAAGAAAATGGGAAAAGGGTATTAAGGACCTTTTCAGCAACCAGAAAAGCCGAATAGAACCCAACACCAAATTGACCAATCAAACTGTTATCATTTCCAAGATCCTTGTTCTCCTAAACAAAAAGATTCAACATTTTATACAATTAACCGATTAATGTAATGTATTACATATTTGCTAATGATTTATATGAAAGAAGGTAAAGTACCACTTTGAGAAATGGTTCCAAGGCAGTCTATTAGTTCTTCTTTGGTCATTCCAATACCAGTGTCTCTACAATAAGGGTAAAATAAGGTTTATGAATCTATTATAGAGTTGTATTTTATGAGGAAAGATTCAAGAATGAAGAAAAGTAAGTAATCTTACGATATTGTGATTGTCCCTTTTTCTGGATCAAGTTTAATTCAAATTTCAAGCTCACCAACATCTCCAAGTAATGAGGGATCCGTTACACTTACGGATATCAGCTTATCAAGAGCATCACTTGCATTACTGAAAGAAGGTTTCTTGTTAATAATTTTGTTTTTAAAAATGATAAAAGATGGAAATCAAGCATGAAACGTGTAGACTGTATAGATGTTTTTACCTCACAAGCTCCCTGAGGAAAATTTCTTTGTGGCTGCATACTATTGGTGCAAGTTTTTGGGCAACAGGTACCGTTCAAGTTATACTCCCATTTTACTAGTCTGTTACTGGTTTCAATGCTAAAGTACCTAGAAAAATGCATACTATTGTTCACCTCAATCATTACTCTTATGTGCATATAATAAATCATCTTGTTTATAGTATAGGAAGTGAAAAGTATTTTCGGAGTTTGTAGGACATATGCATAACAATACTGACTTCAAATTTGATTGCTAATTTTAAACTGTTACTACTGTATAGGTATATATTCACAGCTGATCCTAAAGGAAGATATGCAAATCTTTTCGTATCTGGGAAGTTCTTAATCTACTAAATCATTTTCTTAATTTCAAAATTTCTTGAAATACAATAAGATTTTATTTTAATTTACTAAATCATTTTCTTGATTTCAAGATTTCTTTTCTCTTTCCCAATATTATTTCGAAGATAGGTATGATTTGGTGAAGTTAATTAAGTTGATTAAGAAAGCTGGACTCTATGTTCATCTCAGAGTTGGTCCTTATGCATTTGCTGAATGGAATTTAAGGTAATTAAATTTTTTTGTTTTACAGAAATAATAAAATCTTTACTTGTAATTTTTAACAATTTCACAAATAAGTTACACTTCCTATTAGCTTGTTATTTTATGCATTCAATATGTTCTTGCTATATATAAACATTAAATCTTTGTTGTTTTTTTCAAGTTCTTTGCAGGTATACAAGTGTTGTATTTTTCATTTCAATTGTTAGTTGTTCTACTGATGATGGAAACTGCTAATAAAGGAAATGGAAGAAGCCGCATGAAATAGATTTTTTGTATGAAACACAAAGTAGATTAGATGAATGTAAATTTATATATTGTAAGAAATAGAATTGTATGACATTAAATTTTATGAAATGGATTATATTTTTTTGTATATGATATTTTATTTTCTATTATGAGGCATTAAATGCAAATATAATTTGAAAATTAGTAAATCAACAAAAAATAATTTTTTTAAACATTTAAAATTATGATACGCAAAAATGTGTGTCATCTTCATTTATGACATGGCCTTTCTTGACAGAGGCTTTCTTGATACGCATTGTGTGTCATTAACACGCGTGTCGTAAGGTTACAACACACGAATGTGTGTCGTCTTTCTTTATGACAGGGTCTTCCTTGATACGCATTGCATGTCGTAAACGAGCGTCGTAACTGCGCGTCGTAAATGAGCGTCGTAAATGCACGTCGTCTATAGACAACGGACAGAAGCGCGTCGTCTCTCTTTATGACAGGGCCGTCGTAAAAGGCTGTTTTTCTAGTAGTGAAATGAGATTGACTAGGATCTATATCTCATGTTCAATACGAAGTCTGTAACAAAGGGATAATTGATTACTTACCTTATACACCAATTGTAGCTTTAAGCTTATGGGGGATAAGATCTTGATACAATGGCACAAAGTCATATGTTGTTGGGCGTAGTGAAATGTTGCTAGACGTTCACCCCTGTCTATATCATTATAATATGAGTCTTCCGTAAGTAGGAGATTGAAAGATTTTGTATACTCAAGAGTCATATTACTAATTAACATAGGGTCCTAAATGGTCACACTAACAACAACTTCATAGAATTGATTATTTGTTAGAAATTCATTTTAATAAATATTCAAAAACTCTTATAATTAAATAAAAATTATTTATTTCATGAAAATGATACTTTTCAATGATAACATTATATATCATATGATATGATTTATTAAGTCATGTACAATATTTTGAACTAGAAAGTCTTTTTTGTATTTTACTAAAAATTAAAGGTTTATATTTTATAATAGAGTTTGTGAAATTTATAAAGTTTGCATTCTTTTTTTTCTCTTAAAAACCTTAGGTAGTTAAGAGACAAAGGGAATAGGATTTTTATTTAATTAATCTAAAGAAAACACCTCTAGAAAGCATGCATGCACAACATGATGAAGTAGGAACATGGTAGATCAGAAGTGTTAAGATCTTATTGTTAATATCTTTGATTTAAGTCTTGCACGAGGTTTGCATTTTTGGTCAAGAAAACTGTATTCTCTTCTCCGCACTTTCTCATCCCTCTCTTGCATGAAGTGTTAAAGTTTTGCTCAGTTAATTTTGTTCTCTTTGATTCATACTTAGTTTTGAATCAAAGCTTAATATTTTACAAGACTAGCATCTTGTTCAAGTTGGCTTCTTGTTGGTTTCAATCTAAGGAAAAGAATTCATCCACATTCTTGTATAACTTCCAAGCCTTCCCTTGAGAAATCAAATGCTACAAATGTTGTTACTTTTTATACCTTCTATGGTTTTTTTTTTCCATTTCTTGCAAGATGATCCTTAGTGGCTATAAACTTGTTTATGTTTGTTTAGATTTATAAGTATTTAGTTTGCTAAATCTTAAGTTTTTTAAATATTTTTAAATAAAAAACCAACAATATCCACTATATACTTTTTTTTTCCACCATATGGTACTCAAAACCTTTACATTAATAAAAAATAAAGTTTATTCTATTCACGTATAAATTCTCATTATATGTTTGATTAGTTCGTAATATTTTCCACATTGATGTCATTTCATCATGCTATTATTGTCATATATTTTTATTTATTTCTCAACAAAGTTCAATTCTATTAAGAAAATATGCCACTACAAAGCGGTGGATGAAGCCCAATCAACATCTCCCCAATTAATATTTAGCCAAATGGTGAGATGTAATGTCCGCGTTTTTGGTTAAGCATTGGTATGATTATCTAATAGTTAAGGTCAACAATTGTAATCTATTTTGAAGTAATGAAGATAAATTATTAAAGTATTATATGATTTATGTGATTTATGTGCAATATACGTGCTTATTGAGTATTATATGATTTATGTGATTTTCATTGTGGATCAACTTGTAAAAAAAGTTTGGCAAAACTAGCATAAAATTGATAATTGATAGTTGGTAGTTGAAAGTTGAAACTAAAACTTTTATTTATGCAAATTTATTAAATAAGAGTAGTTGTTAGTTTTTAAATAGGTAAAATTATATAAAAATAAAAAACTAAAAGCTTTCAAAAGTTACTTGAAAGCTAAAAGCTCCTACTAGCGAACGGATTATTTTTAACTTAAAAGTTAAAAGCTACTTTGGCGAACGGATTTTCTTTTCCAAACTTTTTATAAAAAGTTAAAGCTCATATGTAAAGGCTAGTAGTTATTTACAAAATTTCAAACAATTTTTCGCAATTAATTAATTATTAAAATATTGTTAATATTTCGTGATAAAACATTCCCAAGGTGCCTAACATGACGTGAAGTAGGCTGCTCAAAAGATTATACAATGAGTTTTTGCAGGAAAAGACTTTGACATCAAACGTTTCTTCAATAATTTCATATAATATAATTGACTTTTTTTATTTTAACCCAACAAATAAAACCTTAAAACCGATAAAATTACATTGTTAAAAGTTTAAAACTATGAGGTAATTTTATTTGTCTAAAAAGTTTGATGTTGGTTTTTTCAATGATTTAAATTGAATGGTTTCGCTGTATTTAACCTTTACTAATAAGAGAATAAAGCATAATGACGAAAATAAGTATCTAGCCTAATTTGTTCGCATTTGCATTCTAAGTTAACACTTTTAAAACATTTATTCAATCTCATTTATGGGTTGAGTATGACGTTGCCATGGCAACTAAATGTTATGTTTCTTATCCTTCCGACCAAGAAAGATTACGTTGTCAATTATATGTATTTTGTTTGTTTGACGCCGATTCTAGAAAGTATCTATTTTTCATGTTTTTCTATTTTATAAAAAAATTGATATTTTAAATATAATTGTCTTATTAAAATAATAAGTAGTTTATTTACCATATGTAAGGCAAACTAGAAGAAAATAGTGATGCATTTTGCTTTTATTTTGTTGGAGTGAATTAAAATGGGTTAACGTCGTCTAATATCAACCAACTATTTGTTTTGGCTTCCTTTGATCCCTATTTTTTATTTTTTAGTTTTTTTATTTATTTTGTATCGCAAATCATTAAGGGACCGTTTAATAGTTGCTAACTGGGTTAAAACGAACTAGGTTACGACTGTATCCATATCTAACTGAGTTTATTTGTTTAATTATTTATGTGACTGATTATGGTGAATGATGAAAAATAATCATATTACCCTTACACTGTGCTTGATAAAATAATTAAAAAAAATACACAAGTGTCACATAAAATTTAAATAAAACATACATCATTTAAAATCCAAATACAAGTTGTCATATAAAATACAAATAAAAAACAGCATAGTAACTTGCATAGATATTTAGCATTCACTATTTAAAAATAGTTTATTAGCAATCGGGTTATATAAAGTAGCCATATATTCAACGATTCTCAACCCCATTGTATGCCTTATATATTTTGGCTCTCACTTCTTCTGCCTTGCAAGTTCAGATTATTCATATTGTTTTGTTCAAAGTTATTAAATAAGTCATCATTGAATATTAAATTTCCCTATACACGTATACATCAATATACACACAAATATTTCCGCTATGGTAAATCCTTTTTTATTCTTTTATTTTAGTTAGACTTTCGATATGCCAAAGTAATCAAGTGTATCATCGTTACGTATTTTTATTTACTTGAGAAACTAGACAATGCTTGTCTTAGGCACAAATATAATTTGTTATTATTGATTTTTCCCTTTAATTTTTTTAGTTTTTATTTGAAGTATCTTACATGATAATATTACTTGTAGAAGAAGCTTTAACAATCACCCATGGTGACTTCTCTTTCACAAATTCTATCATAGGATTTTAAAAAAAAAAATACAATGTAGAAGTCCAGCTATATCCTCCTAATATAATACTAACATCCAAAAAATCATAAATCTAGTTTTTGATCTCCCCTGCATCAGGTACTTGGTCCAGTTTTCACGATCACAAGGAAGAGATATTGAGTATATGCAATGCCTCAAAGATCAATTACACAGGTCATTCAATGAAAAAATCTGGAACGAGAAGGAAGGAAGAAAGGAAGAAACTATTATCTGTGTCGTGGCTCCTGTTGATCGTCTACTACTATTGTGTCGCCGAGGGAAACAAATCGTCGGCAAGGGATAATGTCAAAAGCAGTCGTACGAAATTAATAGGGAAATGTGGGTATTGCTTGTTTTTTTGTTGCCCGTGCATCAAATGGAAAGCAAGGACAAAGTTTTGTCAAATTGTTGGACCGAGTCCATATCTTAGATAGAGTCCCCTGCACTATAATCCCTATCAAACATGCCAATTTGTTTTTATTGGACCCAATATCTCTTTGTTAATGCTATGTTAATTAGGCCAATAATCCATTTGGTTTTTAAGATCAATGTGACAATGTGGCAAAATGGGTTCATCCTATGTGGCAAGAAAAGGCCAGATCATTTTGCAAGTGGCTATATTAAAATTTAAAACCAAAAATATTTATTTTTTATATGAAATTTTATATTCAGTTATTATGGTCGACAAAAGCATCATTACATGTCTGTATGATAATTTTTTAAATACATACGATCCTTGTCGTACCAAAAATATCTACTGTACGTTCTTATAATCTTGTTAGAAACCTACCCTTCCTTTGAAATTGTTAGAAACCTACCCTTCATCCCCTAAAGTTTTATGTCGAGCTCAAGATATCAAGCCTTATTGTGTAATTGGAGCTAATATGTCAGATAAGAAAATTATTATTTACACAATATATTATATGCTTGGTGAATGCAAAGTGTATGTATATACCATACATTCTTATAATCTTGTTAGAAACCCGCCCTTCCTTTGACCTTGTTAAAAACCTACCCTTCATCCCCTAAATTTTTATGTCAGAGCTCAATAAATCACGCCTTACTGTGTAATTGGAACTAATATGTAAGCTAAGATACTTATTATTTACACTATTCCGTCCATGTTTTTTAAAAGTTCGAGAAAAACCACAGAGTCGAATTTAGGATCCGTCGGTACCTAAAATTTCGGCTTTAAGTCTATGTCCATGATTTTTCCTTGACCTGATGTTGGCTCTATCTAGGGTGAAAATACTCATTTTCACATACTGGTCAAAAATTAGTTGCATTGATATCCCATTTTATAAAATCCCACACCACATGCAACTAACTAACTAGTGTACCTGACTAATAGCGTACCATAATATAAACACATCCCATCCTAGAAACGATACATACTACAATATAAAGTATAATAAAGAAAACTTAATTGAGCTAAACAGCAGAACTTCCAAAGCAAATTCAATTTCCATAGCAAATTCAGCAACAGAACAACTCACACAAGCTACATAATATTATATCGAGACTTATCCTTAGTCAAATACTCAATTCTATCAAAATATAACCAAAAGTCAAACTGGTCAAAAAGTCAACGGTCAACTGTCAACCATCACTCACCATTGCAGCGCGACCAAACCCCTTGACGACGTCATGGTCACAAAAGCACAAAACAGATGTAATACAATGTGTAACTACACCACATACCACCCTTGATTGTGCCATGTTTCCAGTCAGAATCCATCTCCTCATTAAGTGTTTAATCCTTACATATAAAGGCTCATAAATTTAGATCAGAATCACTCAAGGAGATTAATGGATAAAGTTTCCAGCTTTATCCAATTAGATATCACCACAATGGAAGATCTTAAACCCTAAGTCTATTATGCTATCTAAAGATCAAATCTTTCTTTAAGGGCTCAAGAAAACCCGCACTTGGTCCTTTTTATCACTAAGCAGTAGTCCAATAACCATAAAAGTGTCATAACAAACTCTGGAGTCACTCAAACTCCAAGAGTATCCATAAAGGGGACCAAAATGATATTATGACTCACCCAAGTACATAAATATATGAAAATGCTAGATCTAAGCTAGAGCAACACTCTTTTCACCAAAAGCTCAAAACTTGGAAAGGGGTTGAGAGGGAACAATATGGAGGCTATGGTTTGTTCACAAGAAGCTCTCTGGTGTGATGGAGGATGTAAATGACCTAAAACATGAGGATAAATACTCTAAATATAGATGAAAACCTAATTTTATGGGCTTGGGCTGCACAACTCATTGTGATGTGGTAACCGTCTGACTGCGCCATGGTGATACATTTGATAGATTCCATTCCAACTTCAAACAATCACTACTTCATTCTAAATTCATTTCCAGTGATCTTTATATGCACCTGGATGTATTAACAAGCCCCAGCTTTCTATCTAATTACTTTTTTCTTAATGCAACAGAACTTAACTCATTAATACATACAAAAAGTCCAAAATATCATTTTTTTTTTCCATTTTACACAATTAAGGGGCTTAAATCTTTTAACCAATATTATCAACATATAATAAGATCCAAACTTTATCCATTGATGTCAGAGAAATTTACTTGATCAAATTACGGTCTACTATCCCCGAATAATAAACATCCCGAAACTGGATGTTATAGATTTTGTTAATATTATTTATATTCATTTTTTTACAATGTATATATAAATTCAAAATCCTTTTGAAATGAAATATTGTAGTGTTAATGTACAACCGAAAGTGAAGAATATCATGACTTATTCAATTACTATTACTATAACACCACGTTTTCTGATATTAGTTTTTTATTGTATTTAATAATAATAATAATAATAATAATAATAATAATAATAATAATTGTTAGATTATATTGTTCTGTTTATTCATCTGAATAGTATGGGGGCTTTTATGTAAATATGTATCGATTTATATTGTTATCAATACATGCATCCCTAACGGGGGGTTTCCACAATACTAAACAAGGTATCAAGCCAACCCTAAATCGATCGGCACTTCTACCCTCATCAGTAACGATTTTTTTTACTGGTGAAATCGTCTCTGGTCATTCCTGTTCTTCTGCGCTGCCTTCTGCGACAATACTATCTTTGTTGCAAGTTTTGTTTTGTCTTCAGTCTTTTTTCTGTTGATGCACCTACTGTGTGTCTGTCCCTACCTCTTGTTGTTGTTGTTCTTGCTTATCTACAATTCAGATCCAGCATCACTGGGCTCATTGGTTTCCGCCTTTTCCTGGTAAAACTTCCATCCTATTAATTTTTTGTTCTTTTTAGCTTTGTTTTTGGTTTTTTCATTGGTTCACAATGTCCATACCTACTGATTCCTATGCTGCCATGGGCTCGACACCCTCTGCAAAGAAATTGGCTTTTGCTCTCACTAATGTCTACTCACAGTTCAACTTTAAGCTCTCTGTGGATGGCTCCAGATATAAGTTATGGCGCAAGATTTTTATGGACATGTGCAAAGGTGCTAAAGTATATGGGCATATCATTGGTAAATCAAAACCTACAACTGATGATGATGAAGATTGGCATTCCATTGACTCTCGAATAAAATCATGGTTTTACACCACCTGTGATGCAAGTCTTTTACAGATAATCTCCAGTGATGACTGCACTGCGAAAGATCTTTGGGATAATCTCTCCGAGTTTTTTCTTAACAATAAAATGTCACGTATGCTACAACTTCAGGAACAATTCCGCAACACAAAGAAAGGATCCTCCAATATCACTGAATTTTGTCCTAATTTCAAGAATTTAAATAATGGTAAATAATTTGATATTAGATTGTTATCCTGGTTATCACATGATGATATGCTTAGTGATCTATTAGATATGTATCATGGTATATAGGATGGTGCTATGTTTAGTTATCCATTAGATTGGTGTCCTGGTGTATAGGATGATACTATGATTAGTGATGTGTTAGATCTGTAGGAATGTGTGTACATGGTAGCTAGCATTTGATATCTGTATGCTGATTGTGTGTTTGCAGGAGGGTTGAGGCGGTCCTGCTTTGTGCTCTAGGCCAGCAGACCCATGGTGGCCCGGATAGACTGAAGGTCCGGAGAACGGTCCAGAGTGGCTGAAGGCACAGTAGGGAGGACCAGACATGCTGAAGGTTCTCAGAGTGGGCCAGTTAAACTGAAGGCCCACTGAGGGCGGTCCAGTCATACTGAAGACTCTATATGCATGATGTTCGTTATGATATTGTTTTGGTTTGTATGTCATTGGTATTTTTGGGGAACTCACTAAGCTTCGGGCTTACAGTTTTAGATTTTGTTTAAGGTACTTCGGATGATCGTGGGAAGGCGAAGTCTTGATCGTGCACCTCCTCACAGTCTATGCTTTTGATTCAGGGATTCTCTGATATGAAACTACTTTGAAAACATTTTGTAATAACTAATGGCTTTTTGATGTTTGAAATTTTTTTAAATTTTTATGAAGTTTATGGATGTTACATTGATACTTGTTTCTTTCCTGTTGTTGTGGTTTAACATAGTTACATGTAGCTTGACCTTGATGGCCTGGTGAGGTTGGGATCTTTTGAGTAGTTATAAGTCGATACAAGTAATGATATCCGTTGATGTGATGTTTCATTTACATTTAGTTTGGTATTAGTTTTGGTATGAATTTTACAACTTTGAATTGTGAAGGGTTTTTGTAAAACATTTTCAATTACCACTGGTAGTGTTTTCTTAATAAAAATTTCGCTAACATTTTCTGATTAAATTTTGTTAAAAGTAAAAGAAAAATGTTGGCTGAAAAGTCATGGTGTTACACCTAATGCGTCGAGCTCCAGTAGAAAGGAAGAAATGCACTTTGAGCAGAAGTAAATTCTAGAAAATCAACCGTTTGTTCATCCATAAAGGCCTCCATTTTAGAAACACACCCATTGGCAAAAGAGTGACGAGAAAAATCTATTGCTACATATTGATATGAAATATGGGAATCCTCAATAAGATTGCACTTGGTGGAAAAACATTTTGGGAACATTGATTCTTGCCTTGTAGACAAGCAATAAGCTCATCATAATCATACATCTCCGAAGCAGGTGGATATTTCTGATAGGCCACTCCATGAGGTTGATCCTGAGCGCTCATCACTAGTACTTTAGAAACAACAGGCTGCTCCTTTTCCCTTCGCATTCCTTCAGTCTGGTCAACGTCATCATCAAGAATGCATATCTCGTCAACACTAGAGGGTAACAACTTGGCAATGAAGTTGGTTGTAGGTTTCCTCCTGCGAGAACATTTAACAACAAAGGTTCCTCCCACACTACCAACAACACACTCGATACTCAATCACCTAGACTTCCTCTACCGATGAGAAACAACACCAGTTAAGATATTATCCTTATTGACCTCCATGTATTATGGTCCTCTAGGATTGTCAGAAGTAGGAGGTTCAAGGGAAGGAACGTATAGTGGCATATCAGATGATAGGGCATCTAGCTGGGAATAGGTAGAGTGTCATATCAAGAAACATGGAAAAATTATAGATCCCTTTTGAACCTCTTGGTCAGCACATCGAAAAAGCACAACACTCGTTCCTCTCATATGGTGTTATTACCATTTAAAAAAAAGGGGGGGGGGGTGGATAAGGAAATAAAGATAAGAGTAACGGTAGGAATTTTAACACCATTGACAACAAAGAATTTGGGCTTTTCTTGGCGGCAACACCAATCGGTACTCATCGCAACGCCAACAAAAATGTGTCCAGGAAACTCTTTAGGAACAACAGTGAAGTTGTTAAAAATCCGAACAACCTCTAGATCATAGGGGTGCTGTCAAAAGATGGATTGGTGCTATTGTTAGGGTCGCCGACATGGGAAACATCGACCCAAAACCATGGGTTTTGCTAATTTTTGGGCTACTTTTTCCATCAGGAACATGAATATGAGCATTCTTCTATGCATAGAAAGTGAACTTGTCACCAACAGTGGAGAACTGAAAGTAGTTTTTGAACACCCAAATATTTAGGAGAAAGTGTTAGGATCGACAGAGCACTTCGAATGCTACAATCTTGGTCACTACATTAGGAGTAAGCTCGTAGATGTTAACACCATTCTTGCACAACACTTCATCCAAACAGTTAGTTGTCAGAAGTCGATAACCAACATCAAAGGTTTTAACAAATTCACTGAAATTCCCCTGATGGGGCTCCAAAGATGAAGCTCATTACAAAAGAATCACGACCATATCTTTCGGGTGAAAGTCGTATTCCTCACGAAGACCATTAACATACTCTGGTGTGCGAGTCACACCGACGGAAGAAACCATATTCACAAAAAGGGTCGTTTTGAGAAAAACTAAACTCAGGCAAAGAAGAAAAATAAACAAGATAAAAAGAAAGGAGGTATTTATGGAAGATATTGCAAGGATCCGCAAATGTCCCGGAAAAGCGATCACAACTGCATAATCATAAATACCTAACGGTTAATAAGATAACACGTGTAACTAATAGTCTAGAACATAATGCTTAATTGCGCTACACCATCATTAATTAACTAGGAGATTTTTGACGTACCCTATGTTGGTTCATCATGACACGACTAATGAAGCAAAATTTAGTCTCATGAGACGACAGAAGAGCACATGCCAAGAATGTGTAGCCTTACCAGGTTGACTAGGGTAATAATCAAAAGGATCGTCGCGACAGGCTCCTAACTGGCCAGGGAATGAGGTGTCATGGCCCGTAACAGAATTTGTAGCATCCGAGTCACCAAGTATGAGTTAATGATTCATTCTATTTAAATTCAAGTAAAATGGTGGTGGAGGACTCGTGAGTATGATGTGTAACGCCAGTAGATCCGGGCTAGTCAATTTAGAGGCAATAAGTGTCGAAAATGACTTTTCGGCAAAATATTATTTAGAATAAATAATGTTAACCAAGTTGTAGTATATGTTACAAGGTTTTTGTACATATAAAGACCGCCGATATCCGAGTTATAACGAAGAAGTTATGACTCGTCGAAGTTTGGCGACGGAACCGACACGATACCGGGAAACGTAAATAGTGAATTTATGATAGAGCGAGATTTAGCCTTAGAGATCTAAACAAAAGTCGAAGAATACGTTAAACCGAAAGCTTCCATAAAAAGAACACCCAAATTTGACTTCGTATAAGGAAGTTATGATTTTTCGAAGTTTCGGATTAGCAATGTACAACCCGAAATTCAAATTTTAGATCGAGCGGTTTTTAGCCGACACAACCTAAACGAGAATCAAAGATCTTGTTATTAGTAGCGTAACGATAAAAAGACAAATGGAAATGGACATCGGATGAAGAAGTAATGAGATTTTAACGGTCCAATCCTGTCCCGGCCTGTTAAAAATATAACTTTAAAAATAAATTCAAAATTACCCGACAGAGTCTAAACGAAAGTTGTAAAGTACGTCTCGACCTACGCGTGGATATAAATAACGTCAAAAATGGATTTCGTATGAGCGAGTTACAAATTATAATAGCATATTTACGTATTCAAATAAAGTATAAATCATATATATGTACACATATATATACATATGTATATATCATTAGAAAGGTATCGACAATGCGGTCATTATAAGACTAATGTTGAGTTCTTTCGACATTAGTTTAGTACAAATATCGTTAAATCTATTTGAAATAGTATTATAAATGGGTGTTTGGTTGTTTATATAAATAAAAGGTCATTAACTAATTATGGAGGGTAGTTTTTGAAAATTTAATTAGTATAAATAAGAGCCTTGGGCTCTCATATTTCTTGCACCATTTCAAGAGTCTTTCTCTCATTATCCCCGAGCATTTTGGTCCCTCGTGATTCGACTTCTCTTTCTACCCTGCAGAACCCAAATCCTAACTAAAATCCCCTTGTAAGTAATTTATTTTCATTATAGTTTCCCTTATAACATATTTCACTTATAATTATTTATTAATAATTATTTATAATTATATAATATTTTTTTATTAAATCAATTTACATAGGTTTATGAACGTGTTTATTTATATTTTAGTTGATTTGTTTTTTATTACTTCTTTAAAATATTTATAATTTATTTAAATACAATGTTATTTATTATTGAATTAATATACATTAAAAGATAAAATATATTTTCTTTAACATATTTAAAATTACATAATATTTAGTTTTTACACATATATTTATATAAAAAAAATCCTATATATAAAATGAGATGTATTAACTTTTTTTTTCATATTTTTGTTATATATTAAAAACATCACATCACTCATCTAGGGGTGGATATTAAATGGATAGAGGAGAGGCTGAATATTGGGAGCCTTATATTTACCCTATTTTAAATATAGTTTATATTTAAAATTAGTATTGTTATTATAAATTTATAATAAATATTTGAGCTATTATTATGACTTATATAAGTATCGTTGTAATATCTTTTTAACTACTCGCGGTACGGGGAATCTGGTTTAAAGGGCCGCATAGGGTTGTTGGATTTCAGAAGTGTTATACGCCAAACTGGTCCTGCCCTCCGGTGTTTTATGTCTGGCCCCTGTCTGTACATAGTGGTTGAAAATTATTGTTTAAACGCTTATATAATAATAGTAATAAGACTAATAATTAGTCACGGTAAATATTAGACTAAAATCTAATGGTAATAATACTAGGTTTCGTTGAAGGAAATTATTTTAAAGTAAACGAAGCACTGTCCGAGTACCGAGTCACCACCTTCTCAGGTGAGTACATAGTTACTTTCATCTTACACATAGATATGAAGTATTTTATATAAACTACGTGCTATGTGTGCAGATTATCTGAATACTTGTTGTCTATGCTGGATGAACGCTTTTTTTATACATGTTTTAAATGATTTGATTTGTATACGTATTCTAAATATACAAGTATGTTGGGTATGAGATGGGTAGATGAATAATGAGAGATAAAAGATGATGTGAGTAAACATTGACAACTATAGACTTAGTGCCTAACAAATAACATCTGCAACTATGGACTTAGTGCCTATTGGACAAACACTAGTAGCTATGGACTTACTACCTGTTAGGAATTGGTAGCTATGGACTTAGTACCTATTAGACAAACACTGGTAGCTATGGATTTAGTACCCAGTAGCTATGGAATTAGTGCTTTACGAACGAGCATTGACAGCTATGGATTTAGTGTAAGTCCTATAACTCTGGAAGCAAAGGACTTTAGAATGAACGAATGTGTAACAACGAAATTTTTGAAAACAAAAATATTATTTTTGTCACAACCATTTTCACATAAAATATTTCCAAAAAATATCCAAAAATAATTATCAAAACATATCGTATCCCAAGATCACAAAAATCAAATCCTTTCTCTGGTGTGTATGAATCACGCTGGCGCCTTCCTACGGTCCTCGCTAGTACCTCAAACACATAACACAACAACTGTAGGCATAAATGCTTAGTGAGTTCCCCAATATACCACTTACACACATACGCTCTTCCAGGCCATGACCTTCCGGTCCATGTGTCTCAGGGGACTTCCGTCCCAACCTAGTAAACCTTCCGGTCCTACCCGTGTCGACCTTCCGGCCCATGACTCCCCGACCTTCCGGTCTACCTCATAATGCCTTCCGACCCATAACATAATGCCTTCCGGCCCATATCAAGCATAGCATACATAACACATATAAAACAGGTAACTAATCACATACAATGCATATATCCTATAGCATACCAGACCTTCTGGTCACACATAGGTACCCTTCCAAGTACAGTATAGTGAGAAGACTCACCTCAGATGTTCCGGTAAATCACTGACTTGGTAGAAATACGATCTAGCCTCCGCCTAAACACATAAAGTAATACTCTCATAAATATAACTCGCAGAACTAGACTCTACTTTCTCTAAGCTCCCTCAGAAGGGTAAAAGACCATTTTACCCCTCCTTTGGCTCAAAGGCCCTCGCTGTTGACCAAACCCTAAAATTCAACCATAGTCAACGGTTAAACTTTGACCCGACTCGGCGAGTGTACTTAGGCAACTCGGCGAGCCCACCTGAGTCCACTGAACTCTTTAGTCCCGTTTAACACGTCGAGTCCCTCCCTTTACTCATCGAGTCCCCAGGTAAGAATCGCAGGGATACCCCGACTCAACTCGCCGAGTCTCAAGAACAACTCGGTGAGTATATGCCATGCACAAACTCCATTAACCTCCTGAGGTCAGATCTGTTCTTCAAATCCATAGATCTGTCCTTCCCATGCATAATAATCACGTAAAGTCCAGACCTTAACACTTATATATCACCTTGATGGTATCATTTGGGGATTTAGCCCTAAAAATGGCATCCTAAGCTCATAACTCCCATGATAACTCATAAAGCTCGAAGGGATAGGGTCTCTGGACCTCTTTGAGTCCAGATCCAAAGCATAAACTCGATAGGGACCAAATGCTCCACCTAAACATCCTCAAAAGTGGATAGAAAACCCTAACTCTAAGTATCAGTACCAAAACTGAAGAAGGTCCGAATAAATACCTCAAGTTGAAGTCTTTGAACTCTACAACCACTAGAACCACACCTCCTTCAGTCTCCTCTTGCTCTTGATCACCTTCTTCTTGCTAAACCAAAGATAGAAAGGTCAAATATGGTTTCTCCTTCCTCCCAAACGATATATCTCACTTAGGGTGCTCTCAAGGGACTGGTAGCCGCAATGGAAGGCTAAGAGTGCCCTTTAATAGGCTCCAACCCCGGAGGATTAGGGTTTTATTAAAGAGCATGGACTCGCCGAGTCCACTCATGGACTCGCCGAGTCCAACGCGAACCCAGATGATCAACCACGACCCTACTCGGCGAGTCTAAGCATCAACTCACCGACTTCCTTCACAAATTTCAAAAATAAAATATTAGAATATTATACCTGGGATTCCGGATGTTACAATTCTCCTCCACTAGAATCAGACTTCGCCTTCGAAGTCTCATTCTGCAAAAAACTCTGGATGCTGTTCACGCATCTCACGTTCTAGCTCCCAAGTCAGCTCTGACCCCTTCCTACATTGCCACTGCACTTGCACCAGAGGCAATTCCTTGTTCGTCAGAACTTTGACCTTCCGATCCTTAATTGCCACCGGTCTCTCAACATAGTTCAAGCCTACATCCACCTGAATATCCTCTAATGGTACCACTTCCGACTCGTCGGTTGTACATTTTCTCAACTGCGACACGTGAAAAGTGTCGAGAATCTGACCCAACTCCGCAGGTAGCTCCAAACGATAGGCTACCCCTTCCTACCCTCGCGATTACCCTGAAAGGTCCAATATATCGAGGCCCCAACTT